TATATATATATATATATAGATATATACATATATACACACACACACACACATACATATATATAATGTTGTTAAATAATAATTAATTAAATGTTGTTAGACTTGTTAAATTACATATACAGACTCCCTGGAGCGTTCAAATAATACTTGAGTTTTGTGGTTCTATTAATAGTATTATTTTTCTGTTGGGGAAGGGGGTTCTACAGGACAAAGGTAGTTATAAAGTGAAGTTACAAACGTGAAAACTAGTTGTTGTTGTTTTTGAACAATGGTTTGTCAGCCCAGAAAGCACCTAAGGCAATTTTCTCAATCCTTCTCTACTACCCCTTTGGTGAAGAAAGGCCACATGTCGTCTCACACACTAACTGTGCTGGATACTTAGCTTGGCATGAAATTTTACCAGCTTGTTCAGCACTTTTCAAAACTCCTACATACAAATTAAGGCTATGAAGCATCACAAGTAGTATAGGGATGTTTTATGAGTATACTGCCTGTTGAAGGGTAGAAATCGCCTCGTGCCTCTGGTCCTACAGGCGTTATTCTTGGGACACACTGCCTGTCTGTCTCCAGGGTGTCAATTGCCTCGGAGGGCGAGTTCGGACATCGGAAAGATCAAACAAATGCTTCAATAACCAAAATATAAATTTTGCAATGTGGGTCACCAAAAATATCTTGATTTAAGATAAATATGTTATACATTTAAATAAATAAATTATACATTTGAGTAAATAAATTTAAATTACTATGCCTAATTACATTTCAATTTTCGTTATAAACAATATTTTCACTATAATGGGTCTAATAAAAAATATCAAAACATAGAATATAGCATACTATGTCATAAAGTGCACTGTATGTAAGTTTCTTTTTTAGTTTATCACTAGTTTGCGCTATTCTTACAACTGATTTTCATAGAGTTATTAAGAATGCGTGTCACTGCACATCAAATGATAAGTAGACCAACCAATGAGGCCTTTGCCATCATTTGTGAAAGAACAAGCACGCTAGAAATCTGACATCTGTTGATAAACGTCTCATAACGTTCCTGGTGCTGTCAATGCAACTGTTTCCTGCTGCAGGAGGCACAGAGCTCACGAAAAAAGCCCGAGATACAACACCTCTAAAACACTATTTCTAAAACTCCATAGCACTTCAAAATTGGGATATGTGGGTTTTGCATGGTGTTCTACCTGCTGGCGAAATTTCATGAGAATCTGAGTATCCAGCACAGTGAATGTTGGGTGCGAGTACCTGGACGATGGATGAAAAATGGTATTTTCTCTTGGTGAGGAAAATTAATTGAAGACTATTATGAGACCATCATTTTAGTTATTCACACTTGAGTTTTCATTTTCGATTACAAATACTTAGTACAGTTTTGAAGGTATCCATATTATAATTAGGCATTATATGCTAAATTGCACTAAAGAAAGGTGAGGTGAAAATTACATTTGGCACACTCATGGGATTTTAAAATTTTGCAAATTTTCAGTAGTGTATTAGATATTTTTGTCTAAAATGTACTGGAAACTAGATATTGAGAAGAAAGTGAAAAGGTTGCTTTTCATGGCAGTTTTTCAAGGATACTCAGAAGGCAGGTCAAAAATGTAGATATTTCATGGAGAAAGTCAATACATACAGAATCAAAATAGCATAGCAACACATACAGCATAGAAATCAAAATTATTCTACCTTTTGTGATGCAATCCACCCACTCTTGCACTCCTATTTTGTTATACATGTCTGATATGCTGAAGGGGCAAATGATGGATGTTGAAAAAGGTATTGCAGGGCAAGTGTACGAGGGAATCTCCAGTTACGAGTTTGCAATGTTTGTTAATTTCCAGAAACACATTATATTGAGGTTTTCTTTGTACTCTACAATACAAACCAGTCGTTTTTTAAAATGGTGATTTTTAAAAATTTTAACACTGAAGTGGCTACAACATCTGTGTAAGACGGAGTGTCATTGAGACAACCCATTTTAAAGGATGAGGCAGTCATTAATTTACTGCAATCTATGAAGTGTTTCTCCTTTCTTAATCGACAGGGCTACCTTCTGGTTTTGCCCAGCTCCATTCCAGGCGGCCATGTATTAATGCCCAAGGAATTTGATGGGTCTCCTGCAGTCACTTATTGCTTTCTGGGGGACTCTCCTCAGCGAGGAAGATCCCCTATGCTCCCTAAACATCATGCAGATCTCATGTCCATATCTTTACACTTTTGCCTCAAGAAGCCCGTGGATCTATTTACAGTGCTTATGGGCCCACAGTCAGTTTCCTAGCAAGCCAGTTCTTTGTTCACATACTCCTGTAAAGGCATGTCATTAGGGAGTATTTAGGTATTACCCGAGATACTGGGAATGTACCCCATGCCAAGAACCCAATTGGGTTACTAAATTACCAGCCTGCCTAGATGTAATAGGTACTTGCCATGCGTACAAGCTCCTCTACCAAGTGGGTTGACCATAAATGACAGGGTACAATAAGAAAGATGCAGAAAAGGTTGGATTGGGAGAGACATTCATGCCACTACATGATGGCCAAAATACCCATGCTTATGGAGTAGTCAAATGTGTGATCCTGCATACCGAGCTCGCAATGACATTATGTGACTGCAGCCAATGAGTGGTTGAGATACCAATGTGTTGTCATTTCAGTGATATATGACAAAAGTGGATTGATTTACCTATATCAAGTATTTTTTTACACTTGCTCTCATTCACGTATCGTGTAGAATTGCTAATTTTCCATTGCTTGCTCTAATTCATAAGCAAATCAATGAAATAAAAATACACAAGATATCAACAATAAAATTATATTGCTTTTTATAAATATTTTTTTAAAATTTGAGGTCTTTGACGAAACGCCTTTTAAAAATTTATTCCTTTTACAGTCAAATCGATTGTGATAAATAAATGCACTGCAAGAGCCAAGTACTTCAGGTAATAATTATGTTAACATTTGTTGTAGCTTTGTATTTATAAACATGGAATGATATAAAAAATCAATGAGAAATTATGTTTAACAAATCATATGCAGTAATGATTCACGAGACACGTTATGTCCACCCGCTGATCAATTTCCATAAATGAAAAATACAGGAAACAGATTTTTTTATTTTATTTACTCCACCCAACAAATTGGCATTTAGCCCGTCTATAATTATGGTATTAACTTCTCAGTTTAGTGAATATATGTAAACTTGTATTAATTTGGTACTTGATACTTCCAAGAAGAGTTTGTTTTCATTTAATTTGGTAATTCCATGTGTCTCCTATAGAAACAAAACTTATGGAAACTTTTATAAACTCAGACTTGTTTATCTTTGTTGATTGTGCAGTTCTGTTCTATTGGGGGACATTGTCGGGA